GATCGGCTTGCCTACGGCTGCATCGCTTGTGGACGTCGCCTGTTTGAGATGTACGCCATCAACGCCTCTGGCATTTTGACACCATTGACAGAAGGCTGACCGCGTGAGCCCCAGGTAAAAAAACGGCTTCTAGTTTGACAGTTTGCAGCCAGCCAAGATTCAGGAGAGACACACCAGGAAGCACTGAATGATGTTTTATATATTTGGCGTGATATGGTGGAGATATACAATATAACCAAATAGCTAATAATTCTTCAAAGTCAACACCAAGCGTATCCCAATACAGCGGTACTATCAAAATACATTGCCACTGCTGGCAGACTGGCAGTTGCCCTGAGGCTCTTTCTCGGGCATCCAAGATCGTAGGAGCGCGGGCGGATTGCGCATCATTTCCCAACATGGAATCGCTTAAATATACTAGTTGGGATGGAAGCAGGGCATATATGGTTGCTTCATATGATACTTTTAGCAGTCCCACATGTAATACTCCGATAGAACCCCATGAGACACTTTACTAACTGTCGCGACATGCCAAGTAGCCATACTCTAAGACGCATTGTAATTGACGATATAGTCCACTTGGACGGTCAAGCGGTCTTCGAGGTGGTTATAGTCTCAAGTGCTGGTGTATGAATGTACCGGTATGCAGACCTGGGGTACGGTAGTGGGATGTTGAATAATGAAAGCGTCCAGGCCTAGTGGATTGCTGATACACATACCACAGCGGACGGAGGAGCAACACAGGCATTGTTGCGGGACTGGCATGGGCGATCTAGAATTTATTACGGCGTGTGAAGTCAATGAATGCTCCAATGCGGGCGACCCAGCAGCGATAGACAAGGCGAGCTCCGACAAACAGGTGGCTCTGGCTGTAACTTAACCTGGCGCATCCGAGTCTTTTATTTCGAGCATATATTGCAATGACCTCTGATTAACTTGTAATTCAGCCGACATACTAAAACCAAGGCTCTTCGGCACGTTTTCCACGCCAATCTGACTGACACTGCCGCCGTTGATTGCCACGCTTTCAACTACATCGCTTCTCGCTAGAGCCTTGAACGAAGCAAAGAAAAAGCTTGCTGTGATAAGAGACATCAATTGTCTCCCAAGGCGGTACTTTTAAACGAAAACCAACGCCTTCCAAGCAAAAGAAGCGACAATAAAGGTGCGATATACGATTCAAGCACGCATGCCAACCAGCCAAGCACAAAGACAAGACTGAACAAGCAAAGAAGTGCATACCTACCATCAATGCCTACGGCACTTTGAACCTGAAAAGAATTGTAAGAGAAAGCGAAAAAGCGAAAAGCCATTGATCAATATCGATTGCCAGAAAATACCACCAAACCGCCTCTTACAGCCAACGGCGTTGCTCTAATACTCATTTGGTCTTTCCTCCATTGGAAGTTGTCCCCTGGTAGCGCCTCTTTCCTTTTGCAGCAACCACCATCCAACGTCAAAGTTCCTTCCCAACTCCCACCGAGCAGCTCCTTCCTTGCGCGCGCGCTCGTTCCTTCTCAACTTCGGCCACTTGCAACTGCCACCTGCAAGTGCACTGTCTCGAGTCTGATCGCTACTTCCTACACACTCTACTCCATACTCTCCTCAACCTCCAACCTCCAGCATCCTCGACCTTTTCTCTACTCCTCTACCTTTTTTCTCTTTTTGCCGTGTATGAGGGCTGTCTCTACCACAACTGCCCCTTGACGTGCTACTTGGGCTTTTCTTCACCTCCGTCCTCTCCGCTCTCGACCCCAATCGATCCCCGCTTCCGCTGTATACGCTGCCTTCAAGTCTTTGATCAATTGCGCCGGATCTATTTTCACTGCTCAGTTGCTGGACACAATATCTGTTTTTTGCGCCGCTTCCTGCTTCGATAGCCTTGGATCATACACGACGCTCGGTGCCTTGCCATTTACGCCTACCATCATTCGTTCGCTCCCTTACACCAAACGCTTCGCATTCACAGATCATGTTCACATGAGCTTACAAGATTCGCCTTTGCTCTACGACGCTATACCTTAGCTGGCTCATTAGTTTCCACGAGTACTTTTGTCTGGCGATGCGACCGCGGGCCGGCTTATTACATTTCACGACTTTTTATACACCCCTAGCAACGCATACTTCGTTCCAACCCTTACGCGACTCGTAGACTAAAGATATGGCAACTACAGAGTCCATGCCCCGATCCGCCTTTCCCACGGATCACATTTCGCCGCATCAGAAATCGATTCCTATTCTCTCCTCAACTTCTGCTTCTCCAAGAGTCCAACTTCCCTCCACTATTTCAGAACCTGATCCCATGGATATAACGCCGACAAATAACATGTCGATGCCTCCTCCAACCAGCAGTCCGCCTAATGAGAGGCATTCAGACAAATCGACTAATAGTGATGAGGGCATACCAACAACCAATGGCAACATGAATGGACATCAAATGACCGTTTCAGTTGGTGCTGCTGCTGCGGCGCAACAACCGAAAGTTGTTCAAACAGCTTTTATTCATAAACTGTACAAGTAGGTTTGGTATCATATCAAATGCAAAAGCGTTGCTAATTACATTTCAGCATGCTTGAAGATCAGAGCATACAACATCTTATTTCTTGGTCGAGTAGCAATGACAGCTTTGTCATGTCCCCGAGCCAAGAATTTGCAAAGGTTCTTGCGTAAGTTGAACCAAGACTTGATGCGCATTCTGTTACTGACATCTTTAGACAATATTTCAAACATACAAATATCTCATCTTTTGTCCGACAATTGAACATGTATGGCTTTCATAAAGGTAAGACCATGGCAACAGGGAAATTGACGTACAGTGGATGCTTACTGACGCGTCAAGCAGTAAGCGATGTTTTCCATAATGGTGCACCAGACTCTACACTCTGGGAGTTTAGACACGGCAATGGGAGTTTCAAGAGAGGCGATATCATGGGACTGAGAGAGATCAAGCGTCGTGCATCAAGACACACGCTCATAAATCGCGATACATTTCCGACTGGACCCAAGTCCCTTGCGCCTGCTCACCCTCAAACGCCGATTGGAGTCACCCATCAAGAACAGCCTACGCACACCACTCTGGAGGACCGGCTTAGTCTTCTGGAGCACACTTATTATGATGTTCATGCTAGATTAGGAAGATCAGAGGATACCCTAGTTTATATGACAAACAAGTGCCATATACTCTCCGATGGTCTCATGAGATGTCATCAGGTAATATACAACATTCAAATGTATAACACATGTGACTAACAAATGTAGTGGAATCAAGATCTGGCAACCTACCTAACGACCGTGATATCAGATCCAGAGAGTCAAATCCACAAAGATAGTAAGTGCTTTTGTCTTTTTTTTAGAAGCTCACTGACCTATTATAGTCGCGATGATGCAAAGAGAAATTGCTCGACAGACCGATGTGCTGCGAAGCGTTGAATCTCCCGATCCTAGTCCTCAGGAAGCGTCGCGTCCAACATTTGGTCAACCGCAGCATCAAATTTTTGGTAACCATCTACAGGAAAATGGTGCACCGCTTTCACCTAGACAAATGCCCGCTCCAGATATCAATCAGCGAAGACCGTCGCAGCCAACCATTCTCGAACCAAGGGGTCAACAAAGTGGCTCTTTCCGAGCACCAATTGCTTCTCATCTTTCAATCTCGCCTAGGCGATATGGAAGCATTGGAAGTAATAACTCATATTCTCCTTCGTCTGGCCGCATTCCGCCACCACCACCTCCACCGGCTTTGATACAACCACCACCTCAACATCCCTTAGCCACCGTTACTTCTCCACCAGCCAATCTTTCGAGACGACATACCAGCGCGGATATTCGTCTTCATGGTTGGCAAGGTGGGCCGACAGACATTCCTACAGGTTCTCCGTATGCAAGTGGACATACGTCGAGCGCATGGCCATCCTCACCTGCTCGCGGCCCCGTAGCTGACCATGAGATCCGACAAACCCTGGCCAACTACGAGATTCGGGGTCCATCATCGACCAAGACACCACCGCCTGGTAGCCTGGATCCAATCGCCGCTGTCGCTGGTACAGGACCCGAATCTGCTTGGGCGGTACCTGGATCCCGCTTCCCAGGCTTTGCGAAAAGCTTTGGTAGCGGCTTCGACTCGGGAGGCCCACCTACACGCCGTAGCAGCATGGCAAGCAATCTTCACGGACTACTGAACCCAGCAGGCGACACCGTCATTGAAGAAGAAATGGGCGATAACGGTGGCAGCAAGCGCAAGCGAGTCATGTAAATCGTGCTCTGTTCTATTTGAGGGTCATCATATTTTCCAATTTTCTTGCACATACCTTAATTCAAAACGCATGAAACCAACACATTTATACGACGAGGGAAGGATCGGAAACGGACACCAGAAAAGAAGGATTTCTTGTCATCTTTACTACTAAATTCCTGTTTCTGGCTGGCGTAGATATACCGGTCTTGTTATTTTATTTTGGGAAAAAGGCGTAAGGGCATATGCTCCGGGCGTGGCATGATTCACGCGACAAGATGGTTTCTTGTTTGCGACTTGTCTTTTTCCTTGGGGGTTTAGTCTTTGGGAATAGTGTATCAATGTGTTGCTGGCGCGACTCCTGAGCGGAGTCCCCCAAATCGAAATGTTTGAATACTGCTGCATCATGACATTGTCTTCATATCTTTTATAACATGTTCAGTGATTGTATACTCCTTCTTCACTAACATGAGGTAGGTTGTACTTGTGGTTGAGTGTGTAGTAGGCCTGCTTCGTAATAAATCAACGCTGTCGTTCAGTAAAGGGCCCACCTACCATCAAATTCACATTTTAAGACCTTGAACTTCATGTTAGAGCCTCTAACTATAACACCATGATTTTTTAAACTTCTCAGGAGGCCTTGGTACTGTAAAGCGGATGGCCTCTTACGTGGCTGTATATATACAAAAATGTCGAAATTTTGGTTGATGCAAACCTGGCGGGGTGGTACGTTTTCAAACTCGAATTTACTCACCTTTTTACTAATTCTGACTAGGCCTAATGGTAAGGCGTTGCTTTCCGGTGGCAAAGATTGTGGGTTCGAGTCCCATCCTCGTCGTCTTTTTTTGCTCTTGAGATATAGAGCAAAGGCGTAATATGCTTGGAAATGGATATTGGAGGGTAGCTTTTGATTTTTGGCGGGCTGGGACAGAGGGTCATGGAGCTGTGAAGGGTTGGTGATAGCAGGCGGATCGCGAAGAGCTAGGTCCTACAGAGATAGTATTAAGTTGAATATTGTAAGAGTAGATATATTCTATGTACTTGTGATAATAATGTATCACTCTATGCTTTAGGACCAAACATCTAAAGCTATGTCTTTTTTAGTTTTGCGAGTGTAGGCGTGCTCTATCCAGTACTATGGTTCAGGTCCAACTCTACTAGTATGCACTACTAGTAGTCAGTATGCAGTATGGATACAACAGATTCAAGCTAATCAGTAACGGCAAACATACGGATCAATCGTATCTGACATTTGTAATCACAGGTGGATCTACGTTACACGCCGCATGCGCAGGCATCCGCCAACAGCAAAAGGCCCATTGACGACGTGATGGCTTTGTCAGTCGTACATAAGAGCTATATACTCTCTTTGTCATCATGGAATCAATCGCTTCGTGTCTCAGAATTCATGTTCAACCGGACGGGTTCATTTTCAAACTATAAAGCCAACATCAGCATCGGTTCTATGCCAATATACGACCCCAATCATGGCATCCAATACCAAAAAACCTATTCTGATTGCTGGGGCAGGACTTGCATCTTTGCTATTGGCTCAATCCCTTCGAAGATCCTCTATTCCTTTTCAAATCTTTGAACGCGATGCTTCAATATCGTTTCGTGGTCAAGGATACAGGCTACGTCTCTCCTCGGAAGGATTAGATGCGATTGAATCGGTTCTGTCACCAGAAGACTGGCAGAAATTCTGGGACACTTGCGGAAAGACCGGAGGTAGTGGATTTGGAAGCATGGACGCTGTCACCGGTGAAGATATCGGTGAAAAAGGAACTGGCGATGAAGGGAAAGGCCGGCCGTTGGATCTGACTTCTCGCAAAGGAAAGATTGTAGGCATCGCGAGAGGCGAAATGCGCCAGTTGTTCTTGTCCGGCTGCGAACCACACGTCAAATGGTCTCATCAAGTCACCGGTTATGAAGTAACCTCTTCGGGAGTCCGTGCGATATTCAAAGACGGTTCCAAATCAGACGAAGGAGAAATGTTGATTGGTGGTGAGGGTATCTACTCCAAAGTTGCCAAACAAGTCTCCGATGGCAAGCTCAAAGTGTATGATACCGGCGCAAGGGGTATCCATGGCCAAGCACCGACGACAGCTTTCAAAGACCTAGGAGAAGGAGTTTGGCGAGCTGTAGACGAATCCAATCCCAGCGGCAAAGTATTTGTAATCACCAACGTACGGGCCAAGGACATGGACAATCCCAACATAGAGTTTGGATGGACCATGGGCGCTCAACCGGGAGTGATCGAGCCTCCGAATAACGACATGGCGATTATTGGACGCCCAGCAGCAGAAATCGCCAAAAAGTTTGCAGCCAATTGGCACCCCAAACTCAAGGCAATATTTGACCAAATGAACGAGAAGGAAGCCGCATTTTGGAAAATCACCTGCTCTACTCCTTCTGGAGTTCCGGAGTGGAAGACTGAGCCTCGTGTTACAGTCATCGGAGATGCTGCGCATTCAATGACCCCAGCTGGAGGCATCGGCGCCAACACGGCTGTCAGAGATTCTGCGCTTCTAGGCAGGTTGTTCGCTGAAGCTGGTGGATATCAAGAAGGCATAACTGCAGCTTATGAGAAAGAGATGCGAGTATATGCAAGCGAGGCAGTTGGCCATAGTTATGGAATGGCCACCAAGCAGTTCGGGGTGAAAATCGATGAGAACTCGGCCGTGGTCTGAAAGTCATTGGATTTTCCCATGATTTGCTAAAAAGTAAGACACATCACAAGATCCTATTCCCGATTAGCCAGTTCAGCAAACACCGATGAATATATACTTAATGATACGAAAATGAAGTATTGATAAAAATGTGTTGAGCATGCGAAATGGGGTATTTGATATTTGCAGAACTATTTCTCTTCTCCACCACCAGCCATGACATTAACTGCCAAAAAGATAAGAATAGCCCACCAGTATCTGTGAAAGTTAGTTCTTGTTACAAGCAGTTAGTGATTAGTGAATAACGTACTTTTGCAGAAACGACTTTTGTTCTTCGGGTGCCTCTGGAGCTCTTCCATCCAAGTTCAGTTGAACGGGCTTATTCAGAATTGGTTCCGGATGATCCCATGGAGTGACAACTTCTACTGTTGTTTCGCCTTTGCGAAGAGGTTCCTTCTTTCCGCCTGCCTTATCCGTCTTTGCCTTTGCCTTCTTGTCCTTACTCTTCTCCTTAACTGGAACTGGGACTTTACTGGTAGACAAACTGACGTGCCATATTCGCTTTGTCGCTTCGTCTAGATGGAGCTGGAATTTGCGGTCGAATTCTGGTTGGAACGCGTCTGTGGCTACCGCAGAGCCGGTCCATTTCTTGGTTACTGGGTCAAGTATCCCAATTCGTACGGTTTCATCCTGGGAAGATGATATCGAAGGAGGGGAGTATCTGAATATGGAGGCAGATGGAGCATCGGAATCGGGAGAATGCGATAATTTGACGACTGCGACAGGTACAGGTTCAGTTGCTGTTAACGGCCAGGCGTATATGGAAATGGTGTTCGGATCGTCGCTCTGGGCATCTTTCGTAAAGGCTGCAGAGGATGTGGTCAGCGCGGCGATCGCGAGTAATGGATTGAATAACCGCATATTGGAGAATGTAGGTCTTGTGAGAGGTGGACTTGATGAATGCGACTGATTCCAGGAAATGAAGCAGAAGAGCGCATTAACCCTAAGCCCTGGTGATCCATTTCTGCCAAGACTTTGGGAGCTGCTCATGACGGCTGATTTGGATGTTGGATGGCTGGATTTGGTCAATTGCTTCGACTTCTCTTCCCTTCAACTTTTCGCTACCATTGGTTTCCTCCGCTATGTCGTCTCCTCCTCCTCAGGAGGACCAGGGCCGTCTTCTAGAAGACGCGCTTCTTGTTGTCCGTACTCAATCACAACTCATGTCCCGTTTCCTGGACCAGCCTGTAAGTGTTATGGTGCTGCCTGGCCGAGCTTCATAGTTGTATCTAACAGATATTGTAGAATAAATTGATGGATGCTTTGAAATGCGCGTTAGTCTTGCACACCTGAAGCTTCATTTGTCATAATACTGAATATCCGCAGATCAACACTCGTTAGCGAACTACGAACATCAGCCTTGGGCCCCAAGCAGGTTAGATACTATACCCTCCATACTACTCGGTTTCTTACCAGTTGGGTAGTACTATGAGCTTTACATGGCTGTTTTCGATGCTCTAAGACTCCTTGCCACCCATCTGAAAGACAATCATCCCGTCAATCACCTAGCCGATCTTTACGAACTTGTACAATATGCTGGCAATATCATTCCGCGATTATACTTGATGATCACCGTCGGCACTGTATACATGTCAATTGAAGATGCGCCAGTACGAGAAATACTTAAGGATATCTTGGAAATGAGTCGAGGAGTTCAGCAACCAATTCGTGGTCTCTTCCTGAGGTACTACTTGATGGGTCAAGCAAAGCCATACTTGCCTGCAGGCTCTGGGGATGGGCCAGAGGGAAACCTACAAGACAGTGTCAATTTCATTTTGACGAATTTCGTCGAAATGAACAAACTTTGGGTACGACTTCAGCATCAAGGACATTCGAGAGAACGAGATCAAAGAACCAAGGAGCGTAGAGAGTTGCAGTTGCTGGTGGGCAACAACCTGGAAAGACTCGGCGAGCTTGTAGATCTGGAACATTACAAACAAATCCTGCGCCCATTACTGGAGCAGGTTGTGCAATGCAAAGATGTCCTCGCTCAAGAATATCTGCTTGAAGGTGAGAACAGCCTCGGTTTCTAACAAAGCACCAACCTTGAGACTAACATAATCTTAGTGATTATCCAAGTGTATCCTGACGAGTTTCACCTACATACACTGGATCAATTCCTATCTGCTGTTGCTCGATTACATCCGCTAGTCAACGTCAAGGCAATAGTGATTGGCTTGATGGACAGGCTATCGGCATATGCCGCTAGAGAAGCAGTAATCAAGTCACCAGAGCAGCGAAAAATGGCAGAAGAAGCATCACTGGCTGGACTGCTCGAAAACATCCACATTACTCCCCCCAAGCCCTCAGCTCTCCCAACAACGGAACAAAACCAGAATGGAGAGGCAACCAAACCAACAGAAGATGGCCAAGAAGCTCCAAAGGACGGCGAAACCCCAAACGAAGATACGAAATCAAATGGCCAAGACACTGTTCCCTCGTCATCAAGTGCGATTCCTGATAATATCAAACTGTTTGAGATCTTCCATGAACAAGTGATGACTTTGGTCAAAATGCAAAGACTTCAAGTATGGGACACAATGGCATTACTTGTCTCACTTACGAATCTTGCATTGTAAGTTGTTGTGATACCCTTAGAAATTGGTGCTAATGTGATGTAGAAATATTTATCCCGATCGTCTTGACTATGTTGATCAAGTCTTTTCCTTCGCCCACGAGGTTGTCACAAAAAACGCCAACAGTGCCGACTTTCATTCTCAAAACTCACAAGCCAACGTCCTCAAACTTCTTCTTGCCCCTATCAATATCTATTACTCTACTTTCACCGCATTGGCTCTTCCTCATTTTATACCTTTACTTGAGGCTCAACCATATCCAACTCGCCGAGCAGTTGCGGGAGAGGTGGCACGAATCCTACTCAAGAATCAAATCATAATAGACTCCCAGGACAACCTGAATGCTGCACTTCAAGTTCTGCGAGTCATAATTCGAGAAGGAGCACAGCCACCAGCCGGATTCACATCTGGCCCCATGCATAGAAAGTCTGCAGAAACCGACGAAACTTTAGAGGAGCAAGGATGGCTCGCTCGAATCGTCCACCTTATACAAGGACCTGTTAATGATATTCAATTATCGGTGAGTAAGACAA